TCACTATGTGTCAGGCATTTCAGCTTCTTGCATAGGAATTCTCACAACCATCGCATTGCTGCTCCATCTTCTAGAGGAGGAAACTGAGGCACAGAGGGATTAGGCAGCTTGCTCAAGGGAGGAAGAAAGTGAGGCTTCACACCCAGGCAGCCCACTTCCAGGGTCCCTGTTCAGCAAAGCCAGTGTCTAGGACCAACGTGGTGGCAGCCGAAATGTTTTGGGGCCGCGGTGGTTATAATCTTGCCCCAAACCCGCATTTAACCCCATACCTCCTCCTCCGGCAGGGCTTCCTGGTCGGCGTCCTCTACTGCTTCATCAACAAGGAGGTAGGGAGAGCCCGGCCGCCGCATGCGCCCTCTGGCGGCCGCCTGGGGGAACAGCGCCGCCTCTGAGGGCCGTCCCGTTGCAGGTGCAGTCGGAGATCCGCCGAGGCTGGCACCGCTGTCGCCTGCACCGCAGCCTAGGCGAGGAGCGGCGTCAACTTCCGGAGCGCACTTCCCGGACCAGGCGCTCAGGCTCTGGTCCCGACCAGGTCCCCACCGGCCGCGCCTTGTCCTCAGGGACCCTACCAGGACATGGGGATGAAGCCAGCCGGGTCTTGGAAAGTTACTGCTAGGTAGCCGGATTCTGGCATGCGTGTGTTCAGTCAGCACGTATTTTTGAGCGCCTACTGTTTGCTGGTAGGGTGTGGGGGACGCTGGGGAAATGGGAGCGAAGGAAATAGAAAGGGTCTCTGCCTTCCTGGAGATCACAATTGAGAAGGGGAGAATACAGCTTCCACAAAACATCAAGTTTTATCTGTGCCGTGAAATGGCACTAGAAGAAGGGCCTAGGGTGGTCTGGGAGGCCACCTCTGAGGAGGTGACCTAAGTCGTCCCAGAAAGAGGCAGAGGAAGCAACTTTGCAAAGAATTGGAGGGTAAGGTTCTAGGTGGAGGAAACAGTATATGCAAAGGCCCTGGGGCAGCAGGGGGCTTGGCTGTGGCTGAGAAGAGGCCTGCACAGCCAGAGTGGAATGAACCAGGGCCAACAGATGGGAGAAGGGAGTGGGTAGGGCACCAGAGTTGGGGTTTGATTCCAGGTGCACTGAAGATTCACAGGAGGGTCTTGTGGGCTAATGTTTTAAACAGACCCTCTGTCTGTCCTGCGGAGGGAGACAGCTGCTCACTGGCGGCAGGGGTGGGAGCGGAAACCCAGAGAGGAGGCTACCAGTGCAGGGTGAGGGTGAAGGCTGAGCCAGGTTAGAGGCCATGAGGAGCATCAAGCCGTTAGTTTCTGGAGCTATTTATTTCAAAGATAACTCTGAGATTTGCATAAGGAAAGTGCGAAGAAGGAAGTCCAGGGAGCCTCTGGGTTTGGGTGGGTGGAGCGCAGCAAGGTGGGGAGAGTGGGTTGAGGAAGGGAGAATCAAGACTGCGCTTTGGCAAAGCCTGCAGGATACCTAGGGGAGCTGGGAACGGGGCCAGAACCGCCAGAAGTTGGCGCTGGAGATTGGAAAGTGTGGCCCCTGGATCCAGAGAAGAGGATCCTGCGTGCAGACAGAAACTTGGGGGCAACCGAAGGCAGGTGAGCTGAAACCTAGTAGCCAGAGCAAGCCAGGGCCGCTGCTAGCTGAGAAGAGGGTGCACGTTCCCCTCTCCTGAGATGGGCGGGGCCCCTCGGAACTGGGAGATTAGGGGGGAAGCGGACAGCCTCACTGTGGCTGGGCCGCCTGTATACACCAAGACTTGAGTCGTCAATCTTCCCCACACGCACACACTAGACTCCATCTGGTGTTGCTGAGTATCATAGCCGGGTCCCTGGCTCCCTGGACAGACGTGCCCCGTAGTGTAGTTATACTCAGAGCCTTTCCAAGCTTGTGACTCTACTGATCCCCACCTCCCAGTTTTGGTGGAGGAGCCCTAAAGCAGGGCTCTGTGACAAAAGATGATGGGATGAATCTTCTTGGCCAAGCCATCAAGGGAAAGAACTGCAGGGGGCTGCATGGCTGGTGGGGCCTGACTCAACTTCGGCCACATGTCGCCATGAGAAAACAGACATGGCACTGCCACTGTCCCCCTACTTGAGGATCCAAAATTGGGAAAGTGACATGTAATTTCCTGACAGTATTTATTTGTGGCGTGTATAAATTAAAAGTGTGTATTGGGGCCAGCAGGTGGGGCGGTGGTTGGAGCACTTGACTCGTACATGGCCGACTGTGGTTCGAGTCCCATACCTGGTAGCTTACTTTCTCCCTTTCCCTGTCTCTCTCTGGTCAAATTTTAAGAATAATGATAATAAACGATGTAAAATATTCAAAGTGTGTGTACATGCGGCATTGAACATTTTTGAGGGCTGCTTCTCCAGAAAGGCAGTGCAGGAATGAGCGGCAGCAGGAGCCAGCCTGCTCCATACCCGTTTGGCTACCTAGTGGCTGTGACGGGCGGGAGTCCCCAACTTCTCTGGACCTGTTTCCACTTCTGGAACAGGGGATAACGGCACCCCCATCCTAGGAGTTACTCTCGTAACAGTGCCTGTTGGCTGGGATGCCCAGAGCTACTCTTCCAACCTCCACTTTTGTTTTCACTTCCTGAAAGAGAGGCGAGCAGAAATCCTCTTGGGCAGTGGGTAGGTGAGGAACTGAGGAAGGAAATGCAGACTGATGGCCATCAGGGAAACCGACGTCCATTTCCTCGTACACAGAAATCACCAACCAGGGAGAGGCAGGGCGGGGATTCAAACCTGGGACTGTGCCTTCAGGGCTCGTGCAGCTCCCGTTCCCGCACAAGAACCATTTCCCCTTCAGCCTCCTGTGGTAGCACCATCCAGGCTCACGCTTCCCGGATCAACACAGAAGCTCTAGCCTGCTCCCGGACAGCAGACTTCAGGAGAGCCTGGTGCCCTGTGTGGGTGCGGCGCCCTCTAACTGGGTAACCCTGGGCAATCACTTACCTGCTCTGGGCCAGAGCTGGCTCATTTGTGAAGTGGAATAGCTTTCCTGTCTCCCCAAGTGCTTGTCCAGATTACAGGTGAACTGCTCTGTAAACGCATGACTTTATAATGTCACAGCTGTCACCCTGTGACAGGCCTTCTCCCTGCTGCAGGGTCCCCAGCTCTGTCATTAATGGGCTCACAGGGCAACTAGAGCCACGCCCTCCACAGTTCAGAGTGCGTCTGGGCATCTCCTTTAGTCCAGCTCTCAGGTCTGTAAACTCCTGCTGGTGTTTGGCCCTAGCTAGAGGAGAGAGACACCGGCAGAGATAAATCAGAGACATGGGTGGGAGAGAGCATGCCACCTGCATGCCAGGGCAAGACAGGGCTCTTCCCGAATTTCCCCATGAAAAATAAGGTCCTTCTTTGCCTCCTCTACTCCGTTTGTCAGAGAACCTTCTCAAAGGTAGTTAAGCTGCAATCTGAGGGCCTGCAGCGCTCACAGTACTGCCACCTCCCGGCTGGGTGCCTCTGGGAAGTAGCACCACCTCTCTGTACCAGTTCCCTTTTCTGGAAAATGGGGGTAATAAATACCACTGCCTGCCTCAGAGCTGTTCACAGGATGTCTGAAAAGCACTGAGTCCAGCACCCTAACAGCTCGGCAGGTATTAGCCAGGATCACAATCAGCAGGGGGCCAAGCCTTAACCACGCACCAGGCCAGCACCAGGCCAGCACCAGGCGAGCACCAAGCCAGCACAGGCCATTTCAGATGTGCATCTACTCCTGTCCGTCAGTTCAGTCCCGACCTGTTCTTCGGGGCACTGTACACAGCACTGGGCACACAGGAGGCCCTTGGGGATTACTTGCTGATAGAACAAGTGGAAACTTCCATCAACACCAGAACTGGCAGGTCATTCCTCATTTCTACTCCACCTATTTGCTTCACAGCTGGGGAGAGGCCTGGATGGAGCAAATGGGGCCTCTTCACCTGCTGGGGGGCCTGGTCCCTGTGCTGAGCCCTACACCCACCCTGCTGCCTCCCTCTCGTCTTCCCCTGAACCTGCCTTACTGACAAGGGCCCTGGAAACAGACAGAAACCACTAGAAAAACAGGACTTTATTATTCCCATTACAAAGGACAGGGAGTGCGTTCTGACAGTGGGAAAGGGGCTCTATTTGCCAGCGATGAGTGGGTTCCGCAGGACCACGATGACCGAGTCCCCACGCAGAAACATCTTGGAGATGTAGCGGTCCTTGTTGACGGGCTTGGACTTCTTCTTGCCTTTGCCACTCTTGGGAACCTCAGTCCACATCTCCTTCACGTTCTCCAGCACCATGTTGCAGTGCCTGATGGGGCAGATAGGGAGGCGTTGGGAGTGAGAGGGAAGCCTGGCTGTCCCCCCCCCTGCCCGGCACCTCTAGAAGCACGACATGGAAAGCAGTGCAAGTCAGGCTTCCACGGCCAGGCCTGCAAGCTTTCAGGTCGAGGCTTGGGCGAAAGACTTCCTCTACTGTCTTAATTTTCTCCTCTCTAAAATGGGCAATCATAGTACATTTCTCTTTTTTTTTTGGAGAGATTTTCACTGTAGGGCGCATGCGCTCGTCAGACAGACAGAGAGAGACAGAGAGATAGAAAGCGAGAAATCACCCCCCAGAGGGGATGGCCACGCCGCAATCCCTTCTCCTCCATTCTCCTCTCGGGATCTTGGGCACGCACGCACACGCGCTGGTGTGAGTTTTAAGCCACTGGGTCCGGGACTCGAACCACCGTCGACTACGTGGGAGTCCAGCGACATAGCCATTACGCTAACTGCTGGTCCCCACAGTACCTTTCTCAAAGGGCTTTTGCAAAGATTACATTAGTTACTATAGCTTTGTGTTTTTTGTATGCGTTATTGCGATAGGGCACGTGCACTTGCCAGACAGACAGACAGACAGACAGAAAGAAATCACCCCCCAGAGGGGATGGCCATGCAGCAATCCCTTCTCCTCCATTCTCCTCTCGGGATCTTGGGCACGCACGCACACGCACCTGGCATGAGTTTTTAAGCCACCTGGTCCAGGACGCAAACCGTGGTCGACTACATGGGAGTCCAGCGACATAGCCATTATGCTAACTGCTGGTCCCACTAGAGCATTTTTTTTTTTGGAGAGATTTTCACTGTAGGGCGCGTGCGCTCGCCAGACAGACAGAGAGAGACATAGAGACAGAAAGCGAGAAATCACCCCCCGGGGGGATGGTCACGCCGCAATCCCTTCTCCTCCATTCTCCTCGCGGGATCTTGGGCACGCACGCACACGGCGTGAGTTTTAAGCCACCGGGTCCGGGACACGAACTGCGGTCGACTACGTGGGAGTCCAGCGACATAGCCATTACGCTAACTGCTGGTTCCCACTAGAACATTTTTATAAAGAATGTATGATGGGACCTGGCACAGGGTAAAAGCAAACTGAATGGTTATGCTCAAGCCCGCGCTTTTTTTTCTCCCTTTTCCAGATTTTCTTCTGGGCAGGCTCTGTGGCCTAGTAGTTATGGTAGCTGGATCACACATGGATGACCTGTGGCTCAAGAAACATGCTGGGGTGCATATATACGAGCGCCCATTCCTACTGGGAACGGGGTGCTTTTTTCTTTCCTTCTCTCTGGAAGCACCCTTTGGCAAAATTCAAAAAAAATTTTTTTTTAGGTTTATCTCTTTCTTCAGAGACAGGATCCTCACACAACAACCCGCTCCCAGTCTTAGCGCACCCAGATCACCGGCAAGCCCAGCATGCTCAGGGAGGTCCCTGGATATGGATACAGAACCTTTCCCCTTTGGGTCCAGTTGTATTCTGACTGTGCCATTGCCTGGCTCTCACACGTGCCCTTCAGCTCTAAGTACTCAGGAAGTAGCAGCAAAAGAGCTACCTCTCTCCAGAGACCCAGCAGCTACTGGGGTGGCACCAACATCTCTACCCAAGTCCTACTTTGTCCTTGTCCTCAGGATGCCAGTAGGCATGTGTGAGGAGGTATGGATCAGCTCACTGACCAAGCTCGCTGAGCACCTACTGCATACACTGAAACACAACAGATGCGGGCTGGGAGGAGACAGGGCAAGGAGACGACGAGTAAGGAATAAGGCTGCAGGTTTAACTAAGCCAAAGTACGTACAGCAAAGGGAAATGTCACACGGTAAGAAAGAGGACAAGACCGAGGAAGCTCTCCATGCCTTGCTGTGGGGTAACCTCTGGGGAACTTGTGAAGTGAGAAAGGGCAGGGTAGGACACAGTATAGCTGGAAAGTTACATTTAGAAGGAAAAAAGGAGCGACCAGCAGTTGGCGTAATGGCTATGTCACTGGACTCCCATGTAGTCGACCATGGTTCGAGTCCCAGACCCAGTGGCTTAAACTCACGCCAGGCACATATGTGTGCGTGCCCAAGGTCCCGAGAGGAGAATGGAGAAGGGATTGTGGCGTGGCCATCCCCCTGGGGGTTGATTTCTTGCTTTCTGTCTCTCTGTCTTTGTCTTGGGATTTTGAGCATGCATACATGCACATGCCTGATGTTTTTTTAAGGTGCAGGATCCAGGACTCAAACTGGAAGTTGGTCTTATGGGATCCATTGCCTTAACCACTATGCCACCCTCTGGTATGACGCTGGGTGCTTTTTCTTATCTCCTGAAGTTTGACCCATCTGGATGTCCATTCAAGAGAGTAACATAACTAATTAAGGAATGAATACATTTGTTTATTTACTAATTAGGTAAATAAGTAAAGGGGGAGTGTATAAAGAACACCTTAGCTGACTGCAATGTCCTGACACAGGTTATGTGTGAAAAATAAGATGCAGAACACATAGAAAGTTCTACTGTAAAAAACAAAGGTTATATTATGATATTTCGATTATAACTCCATAAAGCTGTTAACTCTGGGAACCAGCAGTTAGCATAATGGCTATGTTGCTGGACTCCCATGTAGTTGACCACGGTTCGCGTCCCGGACCCGGTGGCTTAAAACTCACGCCAGGCGCGTGTGCGGCGCACCCAGATCATCGGCAAGCCCAGCATGCTCAGGGAGGTCCCTGGATATGGATACAGAACCTTTCCCCTTTGGGTCCAGTTGTATTCCGACTGTGCCACTGCCTGGCTCTCACACGTGCCCTTCAGCTCTAAGTACTCAGGAAGTAGCAGCAAAAGAGCTACCTCTCTCCAGAGACCCAGCAGCTACTGGGGTGGCACCAACATCTCTACCCAAGTCCTACTTTGTCCTTGTCCTCAGGATGCCAGTAGGCATGTGTGAGGAGGTATGGATCAGCTCACTGACCAAGCTCGCTGAGCACCTACTGCATACACTGAAACACAACAGATGCGGGCTGGGAGGAGACAGGGCAAGGAGACGACGAGTAAGGAATAAGGCTGCAGGTTTAACTAAGCCAAAGTACGTACAGCAAAGGGAAATGTCACACGGTAAGAAAGAGGACAAGACCGAGGAAGCTCTCCATGCCTTGCTGTGGGGTAACCTCTGGGGAACTTGTGAAGTGAGAAAGGGCAGGGTAGGACACAGTATAGCTGGAAAGTTACATTTAGAAGGAAAAAAGGAGCGACCAGCAGTTGGCGTAATGGCTATGTCACTGGACTCCCATGTAGTCGACCATGGTTCGAGTCCCAGACCCAGTGGCTTAAACTCACGCCAGGCACATATGTGTGCGTGCCCAAGGTCCCGAGAGGAGAATGGAGAAGGGATTGTGGCGTGGCCATCCCCCTGGGGGTTGATTTCTTGCTTTCTGTCTCTCTGTCTTTGTCTTGGGATTTTGAGCATCATGCAATGCACATGCCTGATGTTTTTTTAAGGTGCAGGATCCAGGACTCAAACTGGAAGTTGGTCTTATGGGATCCATTGCCTTATATGCCACCCCACCCTCTGGTATGACGCTGGGTGCTTTTTCTTATCTCCTGAAGTTTGACCCATCTGGATGTCCATTCAAGAGAGTAACATAACTAATTAAGGAATGAATACATTTGTTTATTTACTAATTAGGTAAATAAGTAAAGGGGGAGTGTATAAAGAACACCTTAGCTGACTGCAATGTCCTGACACAGGTTATGTGTGAAAAATAAGATGCAGAACACATAGAAAGTTCTACTGTAAAAAACAAAGGTTATATTATGATATTTCGATTATAACTCCATAAAGCTGTTAACTCTGGGAACCAGCAGTTAGCATAATGGCTATGTTGCTGGACTCCCATGTAGTTGACCACGGTTCGCGTCCCGGACCCGGTGGCTTAAAACTCACGCCAGGCGCGTGTGCGTGCGTGCCCAAGATCCCGAGAGGAGAATGGAAGAGAAGGGATTGTGGCGTGACCATCCCCCCTGGGGGGTGATTTCTCGCTTTCTGTCTCTATGTCTCTCTCTGTCTGTCTGGCGAGCGCATGTGCCCTATAGCGAAAACCTCTCAAAAAAAAAAAAACCAAAAAAAAAAAAAAAAAAATCTGTTAACTCCAAAAAGGAGCCCCAAATGCATGTGTGCGAGTTCATGTGAGTTGAATGTGACGGGGGCCCAGCTGCAGCAGTAGAGGCTGTAGGGGCACCGCTACATCATTCTGGAAGCCATTCAGGAAGGCTCTGGGCTAGCATCCTGGTTTTAGCTGAGCACACTAGGCGTGACTGTAATCCTGTCTTGGCTGCAGGGTTGCAGGAAGGACTATAGCATGAAGACCCAGTTGAAGGTGCCTGTCTCTCTCTCTCATGAAGGAAATAAATAAGCTTAAAAATATTTTAAGTTTTGCCAGGCATATGTGCGTGCATGCTCAAGATCCCGAGAGGAGAATAGAGAAGGAATTGCGGCATGACCATCCCCCCTGGGGGATGATTTCTCACTTTCTGTCTCTCTCTGTCTTTCTGGTGAGCACATGTACCCTGTAGGAAAAAACTTCTAAAAATAATAATATTAAAAAAAAGAAAAAATGTTTTAAGTTTTTGAGACTCGAACCACATACTGAGCCATGTAGAATCCAGCCACCTTAACCACCTTGAACTTAATTGGACTTAATGAGAACTGCCTTAACAACATTCCATTAAATTTAGCTGTCAGTTCCAGATATTCTATGAATCATTTCTTATCACTTTAAAACTGTGAACAAGTGGTTAATTTAAAATCAAAGTAAAGGAATTATTAAGGGTTTATTTCCTGGGAACCAGCAGTTAGCGTAACGGCTATGTCGCTGGACTCCCACGGAGTCGACCGCGGTTCGCATCCCAGACCCAGTGGCTTAAAACTCACGCCGGGCGTGTGTGCGTGCGTGCCCAAGATCCCGAGAGGAGAATGGAGGAGAAGGGATTGCGGCGTGACCATCCCCCCGGGGGGT